CTCCCCCAAAGCCCACAATCTGAATGAATCTTCTGTTCCCATCCACATTTCCCAGAGCTGGGTACAGCACAATTGCTTGCATTTCTATTATGTCACAAATCACCTAGCAGGTACTTATTCCAAACATTCTTCGCTTGGCCCTTCCTTTATTAGTCCCTCCAAATAATTTGATTTAAAAAGGTAGCACCCTCATCTTCAAAGATCTTCTTATTTCTGGAATGTAAAAGATACTACTATGCAGGTGATAATGATAGTCATAAGAGCTAATATTGAGCTCTCACTATTTGCCGAGCCCTTTACATGAATTATCTCATTTTATCCTCACAATACCCTTCATAGGAATTAGGATTATTATTGATATTTTACAGAAAATGGAAGCTTAGCAACCCTCTGGGCTCTCACCTTCACTTCTGTTCTCTGCCATCTCAAAGCATAACAATCCGTGCCACCCATTTTTAAAGAATAGTTCAACCATTATTACATTTTGATGTTCACTTCCCTCTTAAAAAGTGATATAGGTGGAGAAGCTGAGATTTAATACCAGAGACTGACTAATGCTGCTTATTAGAACAACTGAGAGTTCAAGCAGGGGGCGGACCAGTTGAGATGACCACCTGCAAGATGAAATCAGAGTCCTCGCTACTTAGGCAGCTTCCTGGACTCCACCCCGCCTCCCATTTTAATATCTCTTCAGACCTTGGCAATTCCTGACTTGAGCAAACTCTTAGCTTCATACCTCATTATTAAAGGGGGCCTTGCTTAAATGAAGGAGCCCTGGTGATGCAGTGGTTAAGTGCTCGGCTCCAAATTGAAAGGTCAGTGGTTGGAAGCCACCAGCGGCATCATGGGAGAAAGGTGTGGCAGTCTGCTTCTGTAAAGATTTACAGCCTTGGGAACCCTATGAGGTAGTTCTACCCTGTTCTATAGGATTGCTATGAGTCAGAATCGACTCGATGGCAGTTGTTTTTGTTTTTGGTTTTTTTTTGGGGGGGGGCGGGTTTGATTTAGATGGCTACTTTTCCCAGGAGAAGAAATTAGAGCTTTGATGCCCCTTCCCTACTATTCTTTTTTTCCAGTCTAATTCCCTCCCCTACTACAACGATTCTATTTGGAACCCACTTTGCAATCCCTACCCAAAGGCACCATCATTAATTGACCCCAACACTAATTGGCCCCTTCTTCTTTTTTTGACCCCTGTTAACTGACAGTGACTGAGCAGTCTCTTTCTGATTTTCAACATCATAAAATCTATCCATACGTTTGTATATTGTTATGTGACAACAATCTTCTGAGAAATATGCAGAGGCCACGTGTTCTGGAGAAGGACCAAAGGGCTTTGTGGAAGGTTCAGAGGCTAAGAAGAGGAAGAAGCTAAGGGTACCCACCAAGGAGATATGAATGGTGCCCAAGTACCTCAGGTCCTTAGTTAACGGGCTGTATCCTTCTACCACTAAGGACTTAAGTTTTCAGACTACCGTACGTAGGTTTAGTGGACGAAAGGAAGATGGGTGGAGATGCCCACTTTTTGGAATTTTTGCATAGGGTAGTGATATTTTCCTGAATTGTTTGTTTATTCACCCAACCAAATACTTAGATATTCATTAAGGGTTACCAAGTACATAGCCCTGTGTTAGATACTGAGGTTGGCTACAAAGAAAAGTAAAGAAGCCTTTATATCAGAGACAGCCTGGGACACTTTTCACTGCTTCAAACACCTTTTAGAGTTGACATACCTCCACTTAGCCCTAGGAAAACTAGCCACTGGCTGGCCCAGTAGGCTGCCATAAACCATGAAGGATAACTCTGGCAAATAAAAATTAATTTTTACCAACAGCACACACACACAAAAAAACAGTCTCTTTTACCAGTCACATATCAGATAATCATAGCTGGCCACCCTCGAGTCATGTCTCATAATAGACCTTCCCTGGAGCCATACACCCTGACTTTAGGGGGCAATATCATTTTAATGTCCTGATGTTCCCGTGTACCACTAAAATGTCCTAGAGACTCCAGTACTGAATGAATTGAGCCGGAAAAACTTTAGAATAGAAGAACACTCACTAGACTATAATAAAGGATCTTAAAAGGTAGGTTGTCTGTGGTTTAGGAAGATTCCAGAAAACACCCAGCAGTAGCCATTATGATGTGTGCACACCTCTATGTGTTGAGCAGGGGACAGGAACTTGGGGCAGGTGAATCGAAGGATCTGCACTGACCCCAATGTCCCAACAGCTATGACAACAACCAGCAGTTGATCGTTACCACAACAGTGATAGTTAACCTTGCCTGTAGTTTGAGGTTGATTGATGTGCCTGAAAATATTTAACGAAGAGACTTTATCCTTGTGTCAAAACAGAGCAAAGGGCACATTACACATTCTTCAAGTTAGGCTAAAATTCCATCCCCTTTTTACAAAACCCTTTGGACCACTCTAGCTTTGAATACCTCAGTAGCCATGGATAATATTAGAAAAGAGGATTTTCCCCATTCATGGAAGCCAAGTGCAAAAGACGCCCATCTCTTCCTTTCAATTCTTTCTGGTCTATAGGACTGTGAAACCCTATCAATGCCTGGACTGGTGCAATAACGTAGTTGACCTTCCAGCCTCCAGCTCCTCTCCCCCTACACGCTTAACCACCTGAGGCTTTTGCTTATATCAGGTCTTCTGCCGGACCATGCCCTGCCCCTTCACTCATGCAACAGGTTATTACTGAGGGCCTCCCATGCATCAAGGTTGGTACTGGGTAGGGAATACAATAACACGGCAGGCAAAATAAAGAGAACTGAAGTTCTGATGCTGATATGAATCATTTAAAAATACGGAACTAACTATTCATTATCTATACATGGATTATCTGTGACAAACTTGTAATCCCAGACTGGCTTCCTCTTACTACTCAGCACTCTCTTAGGCTAGTCTCCAAGGTTTTCACTTATTAAGTCTACCCATTCTTCAAAAGCCAGCTCAAATCTCACCTCCATAGCCACCCGAAGAAAATGTTGCTTTCATTAATAAAAATTCCATCCAGTACCTCCAACACTGGCCTTGAAAATACATCTCAGTGAAGAAGGAAAACTGGTGAGAGCCTCGGGATAGTATACCCCCAGAGTCCTCTCTTTGTGGCATCTCTCACTGTGTATCACTGTACCACTACTCTGGCCCCTGAGGGAGGAAGGGAAGGAGGTTCCTTCCTCCTTGAATACTCAGGTCCAAGCACAGACCCAAATCCTTCCTTGCATTGCTCACAACACAACCAACGAGGGGCTGGGGTTTCCAAATCCTACTCCACTAATGCTTGGAGACAACAAAAGGAAGGAAAACATCCCAGAGCAGCTACTTCGGTTTTATACATTCATCATCTGCATAAATTGCCTTTGAAAACAAGGGTTGTAATCTTCCAAAAGAAGTTGGAGAACCACTGTTGTGGTCCATCATGTACTTGAATTTTGATGGAAATAGACAGAAATGATGAAAGAGAAATAAAGCATGTTTACTTTTTTGCACACCTGAAAATACAAAGGTATTTCAGATCTCTACCCTGAGAAAATATACACCCCTCCCCTAGATGTCTCCTTGTTCTTTTAACCTTGACATTCATCCCCAATAAATGGCAAATTAAAAAATGAGAAAAGCATTACCTGATATAGTCTAACAGAAGAGTTACATTTGAGGGACATGGTATGGTGTGGTGACCTCTGATGTCCAATAGCCTGAGTTCATTATCCCAGCTGCAACACCCACTATCTGTGTACCTTGACCAAGTGACTCAATCCCTCAGTTTACCTTCTGTAAAATGGGGGTGATAACAGCATCTATCTCATGGTAAGAATTAAATGAGATATTCTATGACAGACTTAGTATAATGCCTTCCGTATTGTAAATGCTCCACAAATATTAAGTAATCATATCCTTAATATTGGTTAAATGAATATTACTTAAAATGAAGCATATTTTGAGGAATTGCTTTTCAGATCAGTTTTTTTCCTTTTCCAAAAGCTGCATTCAGAAGACATTTGAAAGGCTTTAAGATTTTTACCTTGAGTTTAAAAAATCCCCATACTCCAGGAACATGAGTTTCACGTATTCCTCCCTACCTGCTCCACCTCTGAGACTGAGCAGAATCCAGCTTCTCTCAGACTTCCATGGGGACATTTTCCTCGGAAGCAGTTTCGAATACTGTCTTAATTTCCTAGGGTTGCTGTAACAAAATATGGCCAAGTGGGTGGCCTTAAAGAACAGAAATTTGTTGTCTCACAGTTCTGGAGGCTAGGCGTCCGACTTCAGGATGTGGGGAGGGCCGTGCTCTCTCCGTCACTCTCAAGGAAGATCCTTCCTTGTCTCTTCAATTTCTGGTAGCCCGGGTGTTCCTTGGCATTCCTTGGCTTTTAGATGCATCTTTACAAGGCGTCTGTCTTTCTCCTGTGTGACCCTGTCTCTGTGTCTGTCCTTCTCTTTTAAAAGACACCACTCAGAAGGGTTTAGGGCCCACACTGGTATGACCTTGTTACCTTAACTGATAACATCTTTGAAGAAAGGTCCTATTTCCAAACAAGGTCCCATTCACAGGTACAGGGGTTAGGATTTCAACATACGTTTTTGGGGCACACAATTCAATCCATAACAAATACCAAGATCCAAAACAGTGGAAGCAGCATGGATCAGCCGGCCCATCCTCACACAGGCCTGGAATTTGGTTCACCTTGGCAGGGTCCTCCACTAGCGAATGACCTGTGTTCTCCTCATCACTGTCTCTGACAGCTGTGTGGGAAGGAATTCAACCGGATGCACAACCTCATGGGCCACATGCACCTGCACTCTGACAGCAAGCCCTTCAAGTGCCTCTACTGCCCGAGCAAATTCACCCTGAAGGGGAACCTGACGCGCCACATGAAAGTCAAGCACGGAGTCATGGAGCGGGGCCTTCACTCACAAGGTGAGCAGTCTTCCAGAAGCTGCCAGGCTGCGGAACACAGTGGGAGAGCAAATGGGGTTGAGTTTTTTGTTTTGTTTTAGGCGGAGAGGCATTGCTTGGGGAGATATCATTCTTGTCAAAAGGGAGCCTGATTTTTAAGACGAAAGCTAAGAAGTGAGAGCAGACTTATCATGTTACTATAAAAAAACATAATGCTAATATCTGAAGATAGTAAGTAAAAATGAAATATTTCTAGTAAGTGGAACATAACAACGATGACAATCAGTACCATTTCTGGTTCTTTTGTTCTAGACACTGATTCAGGTACCTTGTCACCTTCAGTCTTCACAACAAATCCAGGCTGTAGGAACTTCTATTATCCCTATTTTACAGGTGGGGAAACTGAGGCTTCAAGAGATTAAGTAGCCCAAAGTTGCTCAAATGAAAAGTACAGTGTCAGAATTTGAACCCAGACCTTTCTGACTCTAAAGCCTTTATTGTATCTACTTTGTTGCACTGCTGTTAAAGGGCACGTGATTTTTCCTTTCCTTTCTAAAAAGCAGGTCTTCAAGCTCTGCTGTAAGCAGAAGTGTGTTTATAGCTGGCTAGATCTCCTCTGCATGTTCACAACTAGATATACCCAAGGACAATTTTTCGTGCCTGGCTAGGGCTGACCGGCCTATATGCAGAGCAGGGACTTATGTCTCCCCCACTGAGTCCTAACTGGACTAATAAAAACTTTTCAGCTCTTTTATCTTCTCCGTCCCAGGGCCCTTAGCAGTGAAGAGTTTATGTTGCAGACCTGAATTCACCAGAGTCTTTCCTTAGTTACCCGAACAAACAGTCCTTCAATAAATAGGCAATAAATGCACCTCTGTCCAAGGCAGTGGGCTATGTGGGGAATGAGACCATCTTTGTCTTCTAGGAGAAGTGTGCGTGTGTGTGTGGGAGGGGGCGGGGGTTTTTGTTTTCAGGTGCCATCGAGTTGGTTCCTACTCATAACGACCCTACGTACAACAGAAGGAAACATTGCCCAGTCCTGCACAATCCTCACAATTGTTAAGTTTGAGCCCACTGTTGAAGCTACTGTATCAATCCATCTTGTAGAGGATCTTCCTCTTTTTCTCTGACCCTCTGCCTTACCAAACTTGATGTCCTTCTCCAGCGATTGGTCTCTCCCGATAATATGTCCAAAGTATGTGAGACGAAGTCTCGCCATCTTTGCTTCCAAGGACCACTCTGGCTATACTTCTTTCAAGACAGACTTATTCATTTTTCTGGCAGTCCATGATGTATTCAATATTCTTTGCCAACACCATAATAAGAGATATCGGTTCTACTTTGGCCTTCCTTATTCATTGTCCAGCTTTCACATGAAGATGAGGTCACTGAAAATACCATGTTTTGGTCAGGCGTACCTTAGTCCTCAAAGTGACATGTTTGCTTTTTAACACTTTAAGGAGGTCTTTTGTAGCAGATTTGCCCAATTCAGTATGTCATTTGATTTCTTGACTGCTGCTTCCATGGGTGTTGTATTGTGGATCCAAGTAAAATGAAATCCTTGACAACTTCAGTATTTCTGTGTGTGGGACAGAAGACAATTATACATTTGGTCACAAAATAATATGAATTGGCCACTGCTTATTGATCACTCCTATGTCCAGCACAGGGGAAGGCACTTTGGAGACATTATTGCTCTTCTCTACAATTCCATGAAATAGTGTTACTTTCATTTTATGTAAGAGGAGACCAAGACCCAGAGGTGTTGTATACACTGCTCAAGGTCAAAAACAAGTCTGCAGTTACAACTGGGATTCCAACTTAAGCATTTCTGAATCTGAGCCAGTGCTCATGACACTAAGTAAAAACATGGGGTGATTTGTTTTGTTTGCTGCTTCTTCCATCCCCCTCACAAAAGAGGTGGTAAAATGGAGACACATATTCATAAATAAGATACATGCACACGCAGCTTGAAACAAAATGATCGTAGTGTTCAGGTTTTTCATGACTGAGGTTGTGGTGACTCTTGGGTGCCAGGGAACCATGGCCATCACAAAACAAGGGCTGGAGTTTGTGCAAAAACCCTCAAAAAATTCTGATTAGAAAACAAAAGGAGTTTTTTTCCTGAGAACGTTTTTCACCTGGATTATTCATCTCATCTGTAGTTGCCTGAGCCACTTCCCCAGCTAAGCCTGGATTTTTCCAGAAGAGGGTATATTTGTGCAATTGCTGGGACCACAGATATGTAAGGCAATGAGGATAGTCCCCCATCTGAAAGCCTAACCCGGTCACCGTGATTTACCCAACTCTGATGCTCAACCCTTAAAAGTCACCTAACAGCTCTGTCATTCTTTTGGAAAATTAAAGAACATTACTATATATCAGTGAAATACTTTGAAAAAACATTTAACAGACTTTCAACAATTTTAGTGTTTTCATCTACAAAGAGTGTTAACGTTCTTTCACTCTAGTTTTTGAAATGTCTCAAAATTCATGACCTAGATTAAAAAGATTGTCCCTGCGCCCCTGACAAGATTAAAGATATAGATAGCTTCATTACCTGACAATATCATAAAGTAGGCAGAATTGCACATCAGGGCCCCCTACCCTTCTTTTGTTCACCCCCAACCCAGAAGCCTGATTCTTCTGTGGTGAAGCAGGGTCTGGCCTCACCCCTTGGGCCCCTTCCTTCTGGTTTCTTCTCTTCAGAATTCCTGTTCTGGGCCACACCCTCAGGGTCTGACCACTGGCTCACCATTGGCCTTAACAAATGATCAGATCAGATGAAATGCTACCACACATCTGTAGGCCACTAAAAAGCCCATCC